GTTGAAAATAAAGTATCGGGTAGGGTTAGGGTGGGTGTAGGGAGGGCTTTATTGTACCAATAAGGTGGCATCCATTTAATAATTAAAATTATAATTTACACTCAATACGTTATTATTGCATACTGTTTTATAATGTACTACAATACTGAAGTGCAGATAATTGCCACTATTTGCAACAAGTAGTATACTTGATAGTAGAAATCCTGCTATTTTAACAGTGTAACTAGGTATTTGCACTTAGTGTAAATAGCATATTGCTAAAAAATACTGCTATTTTCACTTAGTGTAAATAGAATCCATTGCTAACATGAGATTTGAAAAGGGAAAAAAAAAAGTTTGGTAAAAGGCGGGATCGAACCCTGGTCGATCGCGTCAAAAAGTTAACAACATGCACTTATCCATCTGCACCACTGGAGCTGATATTTAACTGCCACTTTTAACTAACTATAAATAGTATGCGTTTAATCCTGTATATGTTGATTGACAGATGTCTCGTCCAGTCAGCGGTGAGTAATCCCAAACCAATGGCGCTGTCTCAAACTATCTACCTCTTCCGGTTTGTCTGATTTGTCTTGTGTTTTCTGACTTATTTTGTTTTCGAATTTGTCATTGTGTTTTTTGACTTGTTATAATGTTTTCTGAATTGTTGTTGTGTTTTCTGAATTGTTATTTTGCTTTTTAGACTTGCATTTGCGTTTGTAATTTGGTATTTTGTTTTCCGAATTGTGATCTGCTTTGCACTTCTCGGTCACCGTAACAAACACAGTTAAAACAGCTCAGATACGGGAAGAGAAACTTACACAATGGTCACATACGATAAGACAGAAATATTCTACATTTCAATCTGATTTTGGCTTTTTTTAGGTGAGTATTAAATGTTAGACTCTGTTTTTAATGAATCCTGTTTGTCAGTTTGTAATTATACTTTTTATGTTGTTCATGTCGCTTTTAATGTGTTTTTGTGAAGACTATTTATTGTTCACTCTGAACATGACAACAGTGTGTGTGTTGTGTGTTTAGGTGGTATATGCTACAGCAGTGGGTCATATAATATATTAACTGTTAAGCCTGGAGGATCTGTCACCATCCCATGTTATTATGAGAGGGAATACAAACATCAGAAGAAATACTGGCATTCAGAAATTGATATGTCCAATACATACACAAACACAACAGAGGAGAATCTGTCAGTAATTGATCATCCTGATCAGAGTCTCTTTACTGTGACTATGAGAAACCTGCAGAGCACAATACATGATGGACACTATTATTGTGTTATGAAGATTGAAGGAAAAACAATTGTCACATATGGTCTTTATCT